CCCTTCCTTCTCTACAATCAATTTTTAAAAAAGGAACACAATAATTCTCTTTGGGATATCAAAATAATCTTACTTCATATACAAGCTCATGGTGAAAATGAGGTACTTCCAGGTCCTTAAGGCAATGTTCAGCTTCAGATATGTCTCCAGAGAGTAAGTACTCTTTCAGCAGCATATCAATCTATTAAATTCAAAAATTGAGATGTTAGAATTTCTGATTTTTTAAATAATTGTGCTTTGTCTAAAGGATTTACTTACCCTCATCTAAATATATTACATGATGAAATAGCAGGTTACAAATAGCTAAGAACATATAGACTTGACATGTCACAATCATTAAAATTTTCCATGCTTAAAAAGTAAATCTCCAATTTTAAATGGTTCATAATTATGAAGAAAATGAAGTGATTCCGTGTGTCTTAATAATCACCGAGAGTTATGAATAGACTTAAGATGTACACGGCCTGAGTTGTGACCCTAATTCTTTAATACTCCCTATAAAACAAGGGGTCTTAAATACCACTAGAGGGCACTAACTGAAAGTCTCAAAATGAACTTTTGAAGTGGTACAAATTCTCCCTTTCATCAAGATGACCTTAATATTGTACTGGGAGCCAAAAAATGAAATATCAGGGCTTTACTAGACAGGATAAAGATTTCCATATACTTTTCTCTACAACTGAGAATTTGAAAACCATTATCTAAAACGTTCATCAGTAATTCAGCTTCCAATAATATATAGCGAAAGTCTTGTCTTATTCAAATTTATGCAGTAACATCTATGGCCCTAGAGAAAATGGGGAAAAGTTTTTGAACAAGAGAATGTCAATTAAGAATGTTTTTTCCTATGCAATACGTGCTAAAGTCACCTTTGCACCTAGAAGATGCTTGATGCTGGTTAACTGAATAAAGTAATTTCAGTGTCTCTACTTCATATTTCACACTTCTACAACATATTTCATAAAAGGTAAAATACAATTTGATTAACAGAATACATCCTGGTAATTCCTATTATGCTTTAGAAAGTAAATATTTATATATGTCATTTGAATAACATTTTCACTCTATAATTAATAAATTTATTATTTAAATACTACTTAGTTTTTAAACTTTGTTAAGTAACTGAAGGTTTACATCTTTTCCATCAGGTTCCATAAATTTTTGAGAATGGTCAATTATGAATACATGTATACATTTCAAAAAGTCCTCTTTGTCCAACTCATCTTTCCATGTAAAAGTAAGTGAACATCCAAATAATGTCAAACTAAAATACTGCCTAGTTTTATTTCAATTTTTATTTTCATCATTTTTTGTTGAGGTAATTTACATAACATGAAATAGTTTGGGAGTTTCTCAAAATATTAATTTGTGGGGGAGTATAGATAGTTCTCAACTTATGATGGGATTATGTTCCAGTAAAGACGTAAGTTGAAAATACCATGTCGAAAATGCATTTAATATACATAACCTACCAAACATCATAGTTTAGCCTAGTCTATCTTAAACATGCTCAGAACAACTTACATTAGCCTAAATTAGGCAAAATCATGTCGCTTCCACTACCCAGCATCACAAAAAAGAATCATACTGCATATCACTAGCACAGGAAAAGACCAAAATTTAAAGTATAGTTTCTACTGAATGCATATAGCTTTCTCATCATCACAAAGTCAAAAAATCATCAAATCAAACCATCCCAAATTGGGGACCATCTGTATTACCATCTTATCAATATTAAGTCTTCTAATACATAAACATGGGATAGCTTTCTATTTACTTTGGTCTTCTTTCATTTCAACGTTATGCAGTTTTCACTGTATAAGACACTTCTTTTGATATGTTTATTCCTATTTTCATCTTTTTTATGCTATTGAAAATATAATTGTTGTTTTCTTAATTTCATTTTAGATCACAGTGTGCAGAAGAGTGAACTTTTTATATTTATCTTACATACTGCAACCTTGCTGAATTCATTTATTAATAGTTTGGCTCTTTGCTTTTGTATTTTTGTTGATTCATTTGGTTTTCCTTATACAGATCATGTCAGCTGGGACTAGAGAATTTACTTCCTTTATAATCTAGGTGCCTTTTATTTCATTTTCTTGCCAAACTGCCCTAGTATCTTGACTTTTTATACCTCAATTGCTCTAGTAACTTTTTAATTTTAAAAAAGATATTGCAATTATGATATTACAAGATTACAAACACCAACCCATCTATCTTAACACACATAAAAGCAAACTGGTCAAAGCTCTAACTACATTTTAACCCTTTTCGGTCCAATGTGGAGGCTGACTCTACAGACCAGGCGCTAGGAACAGGTCCAACATCGAGGCTGAGGTCGACACCGCAAACCGGTTCAACATTCAATCCCATCAATTAATTTGGACCAGACTGTTTGAATTCCAAAAATAAAATTGGATCGCAAAGGGTTAAGGTCCTTAACACTCAAATAAATATACATGTCACTAAGAAATTTATTTTCAAAACTATAGTCACATATAAAGATTATACTCTAAATTTAGAAGCACATGAAACTTCAAATCTTCTAATTTTCTTAAAAATCTGCAAATAAGATTAATTTTTTGTTTGTTAGTTTCTTGACATAGAAACATACTGCCAGGGAAAGATTATCCAGAGACTAAATCTGGCATTTTAATGTAGTAAATTAATTACGTATTTTAAAGCATGAACAAAGGTAGTGAATCTCCTTACAAAAATTTACCACTCTAATCTAATCTTGTGTTCATAACTCATAATTTATAATCTGAGACTATCCAGTTTCAAAATGCTCACATAAAAAAAGGTATTTTTTGGTTAACGACAAAATTGCAATAGTATTTGAAGAAATTTAAACACTGACATAAGAAAAAGATTTCATGCATTCTTTTAAGGTTCATACACAGCTTTCTTAATCATAAAAGCCCTTTTAACTTAACACAATCTAATTTTTAAGTCAAGGAAACCATACAAATTTAGTAACAATTATATAATTATTGGACAACTTATAGCAAAATCATATGAAGCCAGATATACAAAGAATAATTTTCCATTTGCAGCTTTAAAACTGAAGTTAATTTTTGTCCACAAAAGTTTCAGCTAGAGGACATAGTTTATTTTCCTAGAATACATATAAATTAAGTTAGAGATAATAAACCAATAGTTACCTCTTTTACAAGGTGATTAACAGGCTTCTGCCCACCGCCAGAGCCCCACACACTATCTTTGCGCTTTCCACCTTTAGACATACTCAGGAGCACAGTAGCCTTGTCCAGAGCAGCTCTACAAAAAAAATTAATTTTGACATTTGGACATGCTTCAGCTGAACCAAATCATTGATAACGTTGGGGGGGAAAAATAGAATTCAAGCCTTCCTTCCCACCAGAGCAACCATTCCACTATGACCTGAAGTAGTCCTCGAAAATTAACATCTACACCTAAGAAAACCTAAGACATGGCTAAATCCAGATCTAAGTTTCCACATAGTTTTTAAAAATCATATAGCCTACATCCCAAATATCACATTTAGCTTATATATACCAAAGAACGAGAGTGGAAAACATTATTTCTTAAGATTTCTATGACAGATAAAAATATAAAAAAATTGAAATAGGCCTCCCTTGTTAATATTGTCCATCTTATTAGAATCCTATATAATAAAGAGCTAATATGCTAATTAGACCGGACAGCGGAATGACCTTCCAGAAGCACCAGTAGGTGGGGGGCAGGGCCACAAGGCAGCTGGGGCTGCTGCTAGGGCCAAGCCCCTTGCATGAATTTTGTGCATCGGTCCTCTATTTTAAATAATTACAGAATGTTTAAACCTAAAGGGACCTTAAAGAAAACTCTAAGTTCAATCCTTACATTTTATAAATAAGGAAACTGAGGTCTAGAGAAGAGTGGCTTGACATGAAGATAGCTAATGTTTTAAAACCCAGAACTTCTGCCTAGCTTGTGTGGTTCAGTGGTTGAGCATTGAACCAGGAGGTCATGGTTTGATTCCTGGTCAGGGAACATGCCCAGGTTTCAGGCTCAATTCCCAAAAGGGGGCATGCATGAGGCAGCTGATCAATGATTCTTTCTTATCATAGATGTTTCTCTCCCTCTCTCCCTTCTCCTCCCTCTCTGAAATAATTTTTTTTAATAAATAAAACCCAGAACTTCTGCATTAGAGTAATGTTCTCTTCCTACTATATTAGACCAACCATCTCTCAATTTTGTTTTAACAGTAGAGAATACAAAGGACAAATAGATGTCTACAATGTCTGATTAATTCATCTGTCATTTCAATAGAACCCTGTGGAATTTTAAACTCATTTGAAATTCTAAGTAGGAAAATTAATTTACTTACCTAGCCTGTACACAATCTACAGTTCCTCTGTAACTATCAATATAGGTATTACATAAAATTCCATCTCCAACAGCTCTTGCAATAAATTGGCCCACCAACTATAATAAGGGGGAAAAAGCTATATTAAAAAATCTAAAATAAACCTTTACAATTTCTAAATACATAAATGATGAAGACTGGTTGAACTACACAGTCAATACCAACAATCCTAAATTGTAGGTATTTTTTAGAATGTTCAAAAAAACCCCACTTTTATTCAGCACCTAACTAGTTATGCTTGGCACACACTCCCACAACTTAACCTTCAAGTTAAATGACATGGGGGGATAGGGGGGAGAGTACATCTGTTTTGCTCACTCCTGACTCCCCAACACCTTATCTTGCACAATGCCTGAAACAGAGTATGTGATTAAAAATACTTAAGTCAATGACTTAAAATCAAGAGAAACCTTTCTTGTGGGAAAAATAAATGGGACTAGGTTTTCTCAAAAACTTGTCTCAGAAAGGAATTTGTCTTATGATGAAAAGTTGTGTAAAAATATTTGTCTGAAAGTATGTTTATAGCATTATTTCTTATAAAAATTGGAAACTTTAGTGTCCAAAAAATTAAGGTATGTTTACATGGTACATATATAAGATGGTACACTATGTGGCCACAGGGAAATATATTTACATTTTATGCTGTAAAGGCAATCAAGTTTACAAATAGCACATTCATTATGATTCCATTTTTTATTAAAACAAAAAATATATAAGGATATACAAAATACATATACTTATACCCACAGAAAGTAAAATGGAACATTTAGCATGAAAATGTAAACAGTGACTATTTTTCTTCATTTTGGCTTTTTTCTTTAATTTTATAATGAATATGAACTTTACATAATCATTTTTTCCAAGTATGAGTACCGATATTTTATTTTTTAAAATATATTTTTATTCATTTCAGAGAGGAAGAGAGGGGGAGAGATAGAGAAACATCAATGATGAGAGAGAATCATTGACCGGCAGCCTCCTGTACGCCCCCTACCGGGGACTGAGCCCACAACCCAGGCATGTGCCCTTGACTGGAATAGAATCCAGGACCCTTCAGTCCACAGGCCTATGCTCTATCCACTGAGCCAAACCAGCCTGGGCTGAGTACAGATATTTTAAAACGTTCATGTTTGAATCACAGCATTTAGGAATTAACCTACCTATACTCTATTCCCAAATTAATGTTTAAGTGCTCCTACCTTAAGACTTGGGTCAAGGAACCAGAAAAAAATTTCACACACTTTTTATTTCAAACCATAAAGTCATGTTATAATGTGAGCATGTATTAAGTCTAATGTAAGTATAAGACTTTGAGCCCTAGCTGGTTTGGCTCAATAGATAGAGCGTCGGCCTGCAGACTGAAGAGTCCCGGGTTCGATTCCAGTCAAGGGCACATGCATGGGTTGCAGGCTTGATCCCCAGTAGGGGGCGTGCAGGAGGCAACCGATCAATGATTCTCTCTCACTATTGATTTTTCTATCTCCCCTCTCCCTTCTTCTCTGTAATCAATAAAAATGTATTTTAAAAAGTATAAGGCTTTGAGAAAAGAAACCTAAACAGAAGCATAAACCATGAATTTTCTATTACCCACAATGCTACAAAAGGGAACAGTCTTCCTTATGATTATTTTATAATAAACATCAGTTAAGCAAATTCGATACTCAATAATAATCTACATCTTTTAAAAATCCCAGCTCATAAAACATCTTAACTATGTATAATAAAAAATTTACAGATAAGAAAAAAAAGTATGACCTAACAACTACACAGAGCACTACGTGGAAAGTAAGATATAAAATTATAGTATGATGAAAATGGGAGGGGGGGAATAGCTCAGAGAAAATACACTAAAATGTTAAAGGGCTATTTTTGTGTGATAGGAAATATGGGCAATATTTTCCTTTTTCATCTAATACAATTTCCTAACAGTGTGCATTATTTCTATACCTGGAAGGGTAGTGGAGGAAGAGAATAAGCAAGAAAAATAATACAAACCTGTGGTGCTCTAGGAGTATCCAACGCTAATTCAGGTAGATCTTTCAACAATTTATCAAATGATTTTTCTACATCATTTGTGCTCATTACTGTTCCACAGAGGTCAGAAAGAAGCTTAGATGTCATTTCTCTATGACTAGCCTTTCCCTCCAATGCCAAGGATACTGCCAACACTGGTACTCCACTTTTCATTTCACCAAGATTTAAATCTCTTAGCATTTCCTATTTAAAAAAAAGTATTTTAATTTTGAAAAAAATCAAGATTTTATATATCCTTACCTCTTCCCATGTGGAAATAATCAGAGAGGCAGTCAAATTTTGAGGGATAGAATAAATATATCTTACTCTGCATATAAATTACATATTGACCCACTTTGTCAAGCTTTAACTGTTTGAACATCAATGAACTCAAGAATGTGAATTACAGGCCTGGCCAGGTAGTTCAGTAGATTAGAGCTTCATTCTGATAATACCAGGGCTTCAGGCTCTATTCTGGGTCAGGGCACATACCAGAACCAACAAATGAGTGCCTAAGTGGAACAACAAATTGCTGTTTTCTCTCTCTCCCTTTCTCTCTCTCTCTAAAAATCAATAAAAAAAAATGTGAATTAAATCTAAAATAGTTTATTAATCCACATAATATTACGAAGTTTGGTGTTAGGAGTTAACTAATCCTCTCCCTTATAATACATTAACATTACTTCTAGGAATATTGCTTTATAAGCATTTATGGAGAAATTCATTTCACATCATAATAAACTGTTTATACTCTGATTTTCTTCAAAGCTTTCTCTTTGCACAAAAATTTACTTTATAGTCATATAAAGTTTAAAATGAGATCTTAAAAGATTGTTTTTAAATGGGATTATTGTTTTAAATGTTGGAATAAAGTTAAAATTATACTTTATAAACTATCAATTTAAAAAATATTTTGTAATTATAAAAATATCATGTTGTGTAATTTTTCAGGGAAGGAAATGGCACATAGCCCACATCAGATCCAAAATAGGTAAGAATTAATCTAAATTCATGAAATTTTACTCCATTTCTTAGTTAAAAATTCATTTATACAAAAGAAAATTCTTACACTTATTCAGTGATCCAAGATCATTCTAGTTTTGTTTTGCTTTTAATAGTGTTTTCTCTCCTAAATGAAATAAATTGCAATTGCAACTTTAAGCCTACCGCAACTTCATTCGTATCTCCATGCTCAAAATATTCCTGTATGATTGGTGTTAAAGTCTTCTCAAATGCTGTTTCATCCAAAGGCAAAACTACAGTTTCATAAACACAGTTCTCCTGGGAAGGGAAAGGGGAGAAAGAGTTATAAATTAAAGAACAAATTATTCAGATAAATTGAAATTGTTTGATAATTTTATATTTCAACTGGTTACTAATCCCAATTCTGGGAGAAAAGACATGCTATATGCTTTGATCACTTATACAAGAATTTAATCTGTTCTTTTACAAAATCTAAATATAATAACCAAGACACAGATTAGAACCACTAACCACAGCAAATATGACGTGCTTCCAACCTCTCCCCCCGCAATTATCTTCTGTTAATTCTTTATATCTCACAAAACCAATCCTTTGGTGACCAAAAAATTTTCAGATGACTTCCTATCTTATCTAGCATTTTCATTATAACTTCACTTTTTAAAAAAACGAAGCAGGAACCAAAGCCTTCATGATTAGTATATCACAATAATGCTCCTAATAACAAAAATCTATGTTGTAGTGACAAAAAAATTTTCTAAGGGGAAAGCACTATTAAACTGAAATTTCACAAAGAAGTAACCCCCTTCTGCTATGCAAAAATCCCTGAAATGTTTATATGTAACTTGTGACTGGCTTCCACCTAACAACATAAATTTGTAAGATTATATGTCAAACCTAGAATATTTAGCAAAGTTTCTATAGTATTTGAGTCCTACTGGTTTTAAAATATATTTTTTCATGTTCTCTTAGAAATATTTCTGCATCCAACTGTTAGTTAAAATAGTTAAGTACATACATATACTGGTAAACAATACACAACAAAAACAATCTACCATATACCCTGATAAATTCCTTTCTAAAATTTTTATCACATCTTATCTTATACATCTTATCTTCATCCAGAGCTGTAGGGGGGTGGGGAAGAGGAACAGACACACAGAAAGAGTAAATGGAGGTACATGATGAAAAAAGATTAGCCATGAGTTATTATTAAAGTTGGTAAAGCTAGGAGATGAGTACAAGTAGGTTCATTATACTATTCTACTATGGGATAAGTTAGAAATTTTCCAGTAAAAGGATAAATATATGTAAACTCATTAGAAAATCTATGAAAATTGCATATTCTCAGCACTACCTCTAGAAAAAAGATCCATATTTCAAAGTTACCAAACTTAACATCTTAAACAGCAATATATAAAAGCTGTTTAATATTTATGTCTTTACTAATATTCAAAAATTATATATTCTTCTCAATTCTTATTACTATAGAAACTAAATTAACTCAAAAGAACTTACTGAAAACCAATTTAATAATCTTAAGTAAATTTGTGAAGATCTATTTTTGTTTCACTTCAGAAACCAAAAGAAAATTATGTATACACTAGAAGCCCGGTGCATGAATTCATGCACGAGTGGGGTCCCTTGGCCTAGCCAGCAACTGGGGTCGATCAGGGCTGGCCAGCAGGGGGAGGGACTGCAGGAGGTTGGCCGGCTGTGGGAGGTTGGCTATGGGAGAGCACTGACCACCAGGGGGCAGTTCCTGCATTGAGCGTCTGCCCCCTCATGGTCAATGTACCATAGCTATCGGTTGACCAGTCGTTCGGTCAACTGGTTGTACCGCTCCCTTAGCCTTTGATATATATAGATTACTATCAGTTATCTTGTTTTTTTCTAATCCAAAATTAACCTAATAATCTGAAGGTACTGAGTAAATAAATGAGTTACATGCATATATTAATGTGTGTGCCTACAGACATATATAGTCATAAATTACATACACACATTAGTATATATAATCATATACATATGACTTGACAGTTATCCTATCTAATAATAGACAAACATGGTAATTAACCATAACTTTGCTACCCTTCCCATTGGCTAATCAGCGAGATATGCAAATTAACTGCCAACCAAGATGGCGGCCGGCAGCCAGGCAGCTGAAGCGAACCGGAGGCTTCCTTGCTCCAGTAATGGAGGAAGCCAAGGTTCCCCGCCTGCCGCTGCTGGGATCTGAGCTGCACTCTAAGAAACAATGTTGCAATTATAGAAGCTAAACAATCCCCAGAAACCTGCTTTCAGCCCTCAGAGCTGGAACCAGCCAGCCCCCACCCGTGCACCAGGCCTCTATCCTATATAGTAAAAGGGTAATATGCAAACTGACCCTAACAGCAGAAAGACTGGGAATGATTGGTCACTATGACACACACTGACCACCAGTGGGCAGACGCTCAGTGCAGGAGCTGCCCCCTGGTGGTAAGGGCGCAGCTCTGCTCAGCCACAAGCCAGGCTGACGGCTGCCAGTACAGCGGTGGTGGTGGGAGCCTCTCCCGCCTCCTCAGCAGCGCTAAGGATGTCCAACTGCAGTTTAGGCCTGCTCCCCGCTGGCAAGTGGACATCCCCCAATGGCTGCTGGGCTGCCAGAGGGATGTCTGATTGCCATCTTAGGCCCAATCCCCAGGGGAGCAGGCCTAAGCCAGCAGGTGGTCATCCCCTGAGGGGTCCCAGACTGCGAGAGGGCACAGGCCGGGCTGAAGGACTCCCCCCTCCCCTCCTGAGTGCACAAATTTTTGTGCACCAGGCCTCTAATAGATTATAAACACAGACACAGAACATATGACTTGACAAACATATGAGTACACAACGAACATGAGATCCATAAAGTGTGTAAGTATTAAAACCTATGTTAAAAAAGCAAAAACACAGATACCTGGTCATCGTCATAGTTAGGATCTTTCACATCCACTTCCTCCACATCATATACCTGCCCGGGTGTACCCCAAACACCTTTGCCTCCTGCACCACCTGGAAAGTTTTGAATTGAAAAAGCAAAGAGAAATTTGAAAGAACTCTACATGTTCAGATGTTAATTAAAAATAACAGCTGCCCGGCCGGTGTGCTCAGTGGCTGAGCACTGACCCATGCACCAAGAGGTCACTAGTTCAATTCCCAGTCAGGGCATATACAGGGGTTGGGAATCGATCCTCAGTATGGGGCATGCTGGAGGCAACTGATTGATGTTTCTCTATCTCTCTCTCTCCCTACTCCCTTCCTCTCTCTTAAAAAAAAATCAATAAAACATATTTTAAAGTAACAGCTAAAAAAACTGTATTTTATTTTTTTCCAGTTGAGACTTATATTTTAAACCTCTTTTTATTCTGATCACTGCTTTTTCAGTAAAGATTAGATACCTTATAATCTACTTAGGAACATCAAGTTGAAATAGTTTATAAAGTAAAACTAAAAAGGCAGCTGCTTTAAAATAAAAGCCAAAGAAAAAGATCACAAAAAAAAAAAACTATATTGAGGACCTCAAAGAAGGTGATATTTCAATTTAGCTCTAAATTTTATTTGGCATTTCTTGAGATCAACACAAAAAGAAAGTATGTTGAGACAGTACAATGTGGCATAGAAAACTCAATAAGGAAGAAATTAATTAACAAAGAAACACCATGACCACCATCATGTTTTAAAGTCAAATACTCTTTAGATATAAAAGTATATATTAAACTATACTTTGCAACTAGCAATGTTACAAATAATTGCTTTTTAAGCATTAAGAGCACTGATCATTATTTCTCTCTACTTCTATACACAAGCAGATAAGTAGAAATTTAACAAATGAAACTTTCAAAGTCGCTTTTCTACATAAACTTACTGAATGTTTTTATAAGGCTCAATATATTGAATAATTTTAAAGAAGTTTACAGTATCACCAATATTTTAGAGGTTTTTATTTTATATCCAGAGTATAATCCTTGTCACCAGAGCAAAACAGAATCTGAGAATTAGTTTCTATTTTTGATCCAACCAATGGCTATAGAGCCATTCAACAAAATAACTATTTTGGACATATGACAAAAACATTTTGCAAGAACCCTAGGCTATAAGTTGAAGTTCCCACCATTCAGAAGTTAGTAAAATCACCAAACTGTATCAAAATCCTACCACAGACAAAAGATGACAGACCCCGCCCCGTAATCAACAAATATTTAAGTACAGTATCTATGTAGCTAGTCACTACTACAAGCACTAGAGACACAGCAGAGAAACAGATAATTCTACTCCACTATCCAAGATAAATAGAGCTAAAGAGAATGTGGAACTAGATCTATGCAATCTAATTAAAATTCTGAGAATAATATTACCAATCAAATTTACATGTATCATGTATTCTTCACAATGACCATAATTTGATTCATTAGACCAGGGGGGGGAATGTCCGGCCCTCAGGCTGTGTAATTTGGTCTGGCCCTGGCAAGGCATTAGGGGTGAGTTAATTAAATGTTTGACCAAATATAGCAGGCTAATTTTTAAGTTGATAATTTTGTAAATACCCAAATGGCCCTTGGCAGAAAAAGGGTCCCCCACCCCTGCCTTAGACAATAGGTATGATGAATTCCTGACCTTGTTTCTTTCAAGCAAAGTTAGAGAGAACATGCATAATTTATTAACTGTGAAAAACGTCAGTGTGTAACTTCCTGGAAATAATAAAGTTCTGCTCAAAAAAACTAAATCTATTCAAACATGAAAAATTGAAATGCCTCAACTTAAAAAGTGGTATGACCCTTAGTTTGTAAAAATATATATACAAACCCAAATCTTATGTTATCATTGTTTAAATATCTCTCATTTCATAGAACAAGGAAATTGTAGTACAAAAACCAGGCAATATTTTTTTCCACTTATGTCTTTGGATGTGGTATATACCAACCTTTCTTTGGTAGTCCCCGTCCTTTCCCAGATCTGGATCGCCTATCTAGCAACCTTCCCTTTGGACTGGTTGGTACAGTAATTCCACTTCTAATGGCTTCACTTCCATTATCACTAACTGAATCGCCTCTGCCAGAGTCCCGGGATGAGTTTTTCCGTAGGCGCCTTTTTGCCTTGGCATTAATTTTAGCTTCATTAATGGAGGATGCTGAAATCCAATTTCCATTTATCTCATTCTTTATATCCTCAGTCCCAGCATTTTCTTCATCGCCAGAAAACAGAGAGTCACTTAAGTTATCAGGATCTTAAAGAGGAAAATGAAGAAAGGTAAGTATTTTAACCATCTACTGTTATACTAATTATAGTCATAACTTAGGTTGAATCACATGAAATTACCACCTTTGTAGGTCACTCATGGTCACATATTGGCAATTTCTTATGGTTCAATCTAAATGACAACTAACTAGGATTACTTTTCACATTATCAAAAGTAAACTAAGGCACTGAATATAAAATGAACAAAGTTTACTAAAAGCATGCTATCTCATGTTATACCATCTATCTTAATATAAACACCAAATATAAAAGCTTAAGACTTTGGTGAGATAAGAGAGCTAAGCAGCTGAAGATATAACACTAAGGATCTTGGAAGAAAGATAAACTAATATGTACAGAATGCCTAATATTATTTATCAGGCACTGTGTTGACACTCTGTCATTTACCCACAAGTGTGAGATCTATTTACTACATCGTTTATACAGTTAAGGAAACTAAAGCTAAAATTATTTAAATAACTTGCCAAACATCTCATGATTTATTACAGATACTTAGGAAATAGTACTAATCTGGCAAATATGTGATCACATATGATTATTGAGTTGAACTGTTCATTACTTTCAAAGATAAAGCTTGCTTTCAAAGCCATCATTTAAAGTCCTAATTCATCTCTCCAAACTTGACCCATATTACTTAGCCATCCTCTGAAAATCTTCCAGCCTATATACTAATAAGATTTGTACATTACCCCCTGAAAGGTAGCAACATATCTGGAGTTCCCAGTGGTCTTCTGTTTAGAATGTCATCCTCACTGCACTTTTAGTTACCAAAATCCTTGAGGATATAGGTCAAGTATTACTTCCTTTGTAAAAACTTTCCTCACACTTCTACCAATAACACTAATGCTCTTATCACTCATTAACCACATCACCGAAATCACTTTCTTTTTACATAGCAGTCCTGCTTTTCCAAGTAAGTCATAAGCTTCAAAAGAGGAATTGTACTTGTTGGTATCCTCAGCACCTAGTAGAGTATCCTTCATACTATCAACTCAAATGTCTGTGCAAATCAAATGACACAGTCAGCTTTGCTCTGAAAACTTTGTAAGTCAGAAAACTACTAAACCCATAGGCCAAAGGTTTATTGTTGTTGTTTTTTTCACTTAGGCTAACTCAACTCAGAGTATAAGTCCTCAGATGGTTTTAAATATTTCCAAATGTAATTAGAATGTGTCAAGTCTGTGTGCCTGGGCTTTGAAATGTTTTAATATGTTGAAACTGAATTTTTTAAAATCAACCTTTAAAAAGCATAGATGTGTTAAAATCTTTATAATTCTTGACAAAACATAAAATTTAGAAACAAACATCATGTCAAATTACTTCATCAGTCTCATAAACATTCTCCATGCCTTCGGTCCTCAAACCATTCTCCAAACTGCATGGAGACCATTTTCTAAAACATGCCTCTGCTGAAAACCATTTGAAGGTATTCTCATGGGTCAAAATGTAAATTCATTAATTTGTAATTTCTGATCTTCTCCTTGTTTACATCACCAGAATAATTGCTGACCTCTCCACATTCATATAGTTAGAGCTTACATTTGGTACCATAGGGAGGATTATGATATGCCTATATGTGACCATTACTGACCTACTAATGGGGGATTCATTTAGCAGAATAATACAGAATGTATTAGAAAAAAGAGAAAGTATAAAGTGGGAGACCAGCTAGAAAATGTTGCAGTAATTTAGTCACAAACTAACTGGAAAGGGAAAGGTTAGTAACTTTGGGGTAAATAAGAAAGTAGTACTTTTAACCAAAAATAACGTGCTTTTAAAATAGATTCAAGAAAAGTAAAATGATACCTTAAAAAGATTTTTAGGAAAGGAAGTCAGGTTGGCTATAACCACCATTATAGATAAACTAATAGTCATAGTAGTAATACTATAACTTTTGTCATTACCATCACTATTGTTACCTATTAAATACCAGATTCTATCCTACACATTTCACATACATGGTTTATAATCTTCACAAAACTATAATGAAGATGTTTGTCTTCATTTTACAGATGGAAAATGTTTCATAGAAAAGTTACACATCTAAAACAGATTGTGGTCAGAATAAAACCCACATGTGAATCTCAGGTGACTGTAATTATAGGAAATACAAAGCTAGAGTACAGCAGAGTAGTGACAAATAAAGAGACAGGATGAACATAGAAGGAATGTAAATAAAGAAAAAAAAAAGATTAAGAGGAAAGAGAAGGACCAGAACTCAAATTAGATGGAGTTTCAAGTAGGAGTTGGTGGTTGAAGAAAACATTAAACATCTACCTGTAACATACTGATTTTATTCTACAACTAGAGGCCCAATGCACAAAATTCATGCATGGGTAGGGTGCCTAGGCCTGGTCGGCAATCAGGGCCGATCTGTGGGGGAACCGGCAGGGTGCTTGGGGTGGGGGGGCCCCGCTTGCACCTGTCTTGGCTGGCCTGGGGCTTGCAGTCTGGGGGCAGCTCCTGCGTTGAGCATCTGACCCCTGGTGGTCAGTGTGCATCATAGGGACTGGTCGTTCTGCCATTTGGTCGATTTGAATGTTAGGCTTTTATCATATAGAATTAAGGTGAACCACCAAACTCGCTCAGAAAATAAATGACTTAGAAGTATAATTAAATGCTTTAAACTGTCCGCTGGAGTACATACTTCCCCACACTTGAGTTTTTCTTTTCACCTATTTTAATATATTTTCATATACAAGGGTAGGCAAAAGTAGGTTTATATTTGTAATAAAAATAAATAATGCAATAGTTAACAAATAATAATACAAGAATAAACTGTGCTTTGTCTATTCCTAACTGTGAGTGGTTATCACACTGGGCAGTTCTGAAAAAACATAATTACCAGATGTAATTCCACACACACAGTGTAATACTACTCAGCCATAAAAAATGAAATATTGCCATTTATGACAACATAAATGGATCTTGAAAGTATTATGCTAAGTAAAGTAAGTCAAACAGAAAAGGACAAAAAAAGTATGAATTTGCTCATATGTGGAATTTAAAACAAAAAGTAGCAAATAAAAGTCAGATACAGACAACAGAATGTTAGCTACCAGAAGGTAAAGGAAGTCAAATAAATAAACAGAAGGAGACTAGACTTTGGGTGGAGAGCACACAATAGAGTACACAGATATAGAACTATGTAATCTTATATACCTGAAAATTATATAATGTTATTAACCAATGTTACCAATACATTTTAAATATGTGTAAAATTATTTTAAAAGAAACAATTACCTACATGTGAAGTATATTCTTATATTGTATTATTACCATCCCCACCTCAATGAAGTACATGGTACCCATTTATAACCATAAAAAAACAGTACAGTACCCATATAACTATTGTGTATAGCAGCACCAAAATAATTATTAATTACTGTAATAATTTTCTCAACTATAATTTTCAAACACACTTAAAATCAGATTAATAAGTACAAAATGGCAAAGAAGTTACAACTTCAAAGTGGTCAGATCAAAGAAAATTATATAACTGTATACAACAGTGAATTAAAGTCATTAAAAAATGAAGCTGTATGATTAAAAAGTGAAATATATTTAAATTACAAAAAATAATGATCATTTTAATTATTAAAGTTATAAAGCAAACAATTATCTAAAATATATTAACATAAAAAGCTCTCACTATACGGAATATTTCAAAATCTCAATTAACTTTCTACAAAGATTATTCTAAAGGCTAGAAATATAATGGAACAGACTAAGTAATTTCAGAGGAAAGGCGGGGGGGAGTGATTAACTGAGGAAATTATATGCAAATATGCATAGCCCAAAGCATAGACTATAAAGTGGTGAAGGCCTAGGAGGGGCAGAGGAGATCGATGGGAAAAAAAACAAAGGGGACAACTGTAATACCTCCAACAATAAAGATAAATTAAAAAAATAATAAAAAATATAGGCTCACAAAAAAAATTTAAAAATGAAAGCTAGAAATACATTTGAAGTTGTCTGAAGTAATTTGGACATCAATTTCAAAAAAAGCCCATCTTTATAATAATGTGCTATTGAAGTATGATGGAAAATAAAGAGAAAATACCCTTAGGTAATTTATAAAATACAAATTATTAGTTAGGAAAGATATCAAAGATACCAATAATAGTTTGTTATAGAAATCACTAGCTCATGTGAAAAATATTAATGAGCAAAATATTAATGAGCACTATTCTCCATTCTGGATAAGGTTTATTATAAACTAGTGGCCTGGTGAACGAAATTCATGCACGGGGGAGGGGGTGTTCCTCAGCCCGGCCTGCACCCTCTCCAATCTGGGACCTCTTGAAGGATGTCCTACTGCCAGTTTACAGGGATCGGGCCTAAACCAGCAGTCGGACATGCCTCTCGCAATCCGGGACTGCTGGCACCTAACCGCTCACCTGCCTACCTGCCTGCCTGATTGCCCCTAGCCACTCTGCCTGCTGGCCTGCTCGCCCCCAACTGACCCCTGCCGCCGGCCTGCTTGCCTCCAAATCACTGACGGCCTGCTTGCTCCCAACTGGCCCCCGAGCTGGTCTGCTTACCCCCAATGGCCCCTCCCCCCACCAGCCTGATCACCCCCAACTGCCCCCTTTGCTGGCCTGCTTGCCTTCCACCTTCCCTGCCCACTGGCCTGCTCGCCCCCAACTGCCCCGCTGCTGGCTGGCCTGCTCACTCCCAACTGCCCAACCCAAACT